ATTTCGTGGTGTTTCAAAATTTCATGATCTTTCGAATTGCATTGTCTTTAGGATTTTACAGTTTTTCTTATTGCATGGTCTTAAGGATTGTACAGTTTTTAGATGTTACAGTCTTTCTAAATGTTCACTTTTCCCAGCTTAACTAAATTAAATATATAAGGACCCTATAAATTACAAAGCATGGCATGTTTATTGACAGCAGTAATCGTCCAAGGCTCAAGCACTTTCTAAAGAATATTTCAACGTTAAGATCCAGGATCGAAAATAATCTGTTTGTATAATATATAGAAAGAATTGCTTTAATACACCAAGCGTTTACTTATTTATTTACCATAACATTCGGATAAAACATTTATCTGCGCACCCTAGGTTTATAATAGTGTTCTTGTTTACCGGATAAACAAATAAACAGAAAATGATTGCTTATTAAGAAGTCATGTTTTTTGTTCCGAGTACTATACAACAATCAATCAACTTGCTGTTAATGTTATATGTGTTAATATTATCACTACAATGATATCAAAGGGAAGATCGAGAATGTTGTAATTGTACAGATTGCAGTGCCAAAATAATGCACTAGAAATAGCATGATCTTAGTACAATTTGTACTAATATGACAATTAACTTGTAATAACTAAGGAGTTTATAATGATACAAGCAGATAAAAATGATCTTACATATTAAATAATCTCTCATAAGAATACGTTTATAGACGAGGCGTGTCTGGGACGATCTTAAATGGACTCTATAGCTACTAAATGGCACCAAATGTTATATTCTTTTTCATCTCATGGTATTTAAAAGCCAGGAAACTCTTTCAAAATTTAATGAGTCATTTTATGTCAAACACATATGCTGTTTTCTTAATATTACTTTTCAAACTCGCATCATCATGTGACTGGGGTTGTTTGTATGCATTGTACATTTAATATTACAGTAACAATTTAGTTTTAGATACTGGCCTATATTGTTAAAAATATGTTAAACCCACATAACAAGGTTCTTATGAATTCTAAAACACAATGGAAATGTTTGTATTTTATGTATCATACGAACAACATAATATTTTTAAGAAAGTGTTCAGAACATTTTTAGTCAGTCTCTCTTGGTATGAGTGAGAGTATACCAGAATTTCAATTGTCCGCCCATACCATAAACAGGCCCGATCAAACCATTGTTTGCAATATATCAATTTTTTATGGGCGACCTTTAAGTTTTCCATTTCACTGTTTTCATTAGAAACCAGATAAAATATAAATATATAAAATCAAAGCATAACCGATAATGCTATATTACTAATTTATTTCATGTCAGTGTGAGCATACCGAACAGGAAATGAGATATTCCACTTACATCATTTACTACAAATTATTGACGCCTACTTCAAAAATAAAAATAGAGCTAACATATTTTATTGCTAGAGTATTAAATTGTTTGATGATCTGACCTGAACAAATGGGGTTAAATTCAAATTATATCACAAAAAAGTAGTTGCATATGTAAAAGTATTACGTATAACGTATGATTTGCATATAAGAATATCTTAACTTATACAAAATATACTGAAATATTTATTTCAGATCTTTCTATTTTATATTATGAGAATAAAAATGTATCAGTTAATACGTATTTCAAATTACAGGTATAGTGTTATTGCCGTTTTGAACTTTCTTTAGGTTTTCTTGTTTTTTTTATTTCGGTGTGGTATGGTTGTTGATATGTCATTGTACACTTAAACCCAAACAACAACAACAACAAAATAATTATTTAAGTATTTTTTTCAAGTGAATATACAGTATGTAGTTAAACAAGCGATCTACATACATAGATAAAAGAAAAGCTACTTTCTTTCCAAAAGGAAACAGTTCTTGTAACAGCTAAAAGGGGCAATGGTTTTGAATATTTCATTTGGACCTTAGTTCCACATAAAGTTACACAAGAAATATTACTGAGCCTTTATGAATATTGAAAATACCTCATTCATCCATTTCTGATTATTTTCAAAAGACTTGATATCAACAAACGCTGATGCAACATAAAACTTTATGACCGTATAATGATCCCGGGAAATTAAAAAGAAACAATCAATGAACACAGCAATATTGGTGTTATTTGTTTTTCTCCATGTACATTATTGTTTAATAGTAAAAAATGTCTATCCCTGTTTTAAGATATACAATGCTCCTAATTATTAAACGTTGTAACGTGTAAATGATTGTGCTTTTTTAAAAACCTGCCTTTAAGTTATGCTTGTCAATACTAGTGTTGTTTCATTTTAATGGTATTTCATTTCTGCAACTCTGGAACACCAATGTTTTCCGTGTTGAGGATTGAATAACCCGGTGCTTGGGGGGGATTTTGCACTTTTTTTAAAACCTGCCTTTAAATCATACTTGTTAGTACTAGTCTTGTTCTATTTTTGTGGTCTTTCTGGAACAGTGAATCAAATGTTATAATGGTTGAGGATTTAATATTTATTTAGCCGGTGCTAGGGCTCATGAGCTATTTTGCACCTTCTTAAAACCTGTATTTATATTATGCTTCTGTTTTTAAGACGGTACTGTTTTTATTGCCTTAAGGGATTTTACCTTTTTCCAGATTGATTTTCTAATTACGTCAAACGTTTGTTGAAAATGTTGTGTACTGCTGAAAGATTACAGCCGCAAGGAAGTTTAATCATTCAATATGTCTTCTATTTCTCATTTTAGACGGTTAATATGGATATCATTTTTCTATTTTATAGCATCCTTCACATTCTAATATTATCAATATTGGATAGAAATTGTAACATATAAAAAAAGAAACCATCACCGGGAGATTATGTAAATATTATAATATACGTCATTAGAAAACGCTTAAATATGACATAAAGAGCTATAGATCTTGACAAATTGCTTCTATCAGAGGATCAAATGTTTGGCAAGTCATCTCAAAATGATGATTAATGTTTGCTTAATATGTTTGTTTTGGTTCATTTCTATTTATATTTTTCTCTCTCTATGTATCAGCCTTCTGCCATAATACTGAGAAATTGTTATTGACTCTTCTTAAATTATAACACGCAGCAACTGAAGACATGACTTTTATATTAAAAAGTAAATGTGGAATCCTTTAAAAGTAAGCTGTTACATATTAATTTATGCCAACATAAACGAATGATCATTATGGAATATTTCATACACATACAGCAATTAATAATATACTAAAATTATAACTTTAAAATGATATAAGACTGTTCTGTCACGCTGGTCGCAAACACACTATGTTGGTTTTGTCATGACACGGCTCAATTTTGTTTAGTTCAGTGTAAGATCGGAATATATTTCACCGAGTTAGCACCAAAAGGTATATTTCACGAGTGGCGCAGCCACGAGTGAAATATGAACTTTTGGTGTTCATAAGGTGAAATATATTTCGATCTTACACTAAACTAAACAAATTTTCTTTTTATTATATGCAAAGAAACGTTTTAAAAAGACATTAAACTTAATACTGAATGAAAACTGCGTCAAATAATAATACAACATGACGTCATTTACGACGTCATGTCATTAAGTTGGTTTCAAGTATTGTGCACGTTGGTATAACGTAAGGGGCTAAAATTCAAAACAGTGGCATTATCAGTTTTATATCACTGATATATTTCTATAAACCACCGAAAAGCATGTAATAAATACTGCTAAATTATGATCAACAAGGAAAGGCGGTATTCAATGAACGCAACCCTCAACTTGTGCTGCGGTCGTGAGGGGAGATGCACCTTACCATCTTCCTTCAGGAACAGACTCAATTAAAACAAGTCTGCAATCGTCATACTATTTTGTGGTTTCATTCCTTTCAAGGGATCACACTTTTACCAGATTTTTTTACATTATTCATTTTTAATATAAAGAAAGCTGTAATAATTATTTAACTTGAAACACGATGTTCTTGAACTAAATTCAATCAGAATTAAACTATTTGGATATCAATCACAGGAATGTTTTGAAATGTCGATCAAACATATCTTAAAGTCATTCCAATAGATTATAGGTATGTAACAATTTTATTATTTTCTTTCATTTTCTTTTGAGCTGTATCTACATTTTGGTGAATTATTGTATCATCGTGAGAGTATTACATTGTTATAAATATTGTCCTTGTTTCAATAAACAATGTATTACGTTTCCTGTAAATCAAAATTTAAACAAATGAAAGTAATTACTGAAATCAACTGCCTACCAACTGATTACCAAAAAAATACATTGTTCTACATGGCTTTCTAATAAATATATGTTAAACTAAACTGAATAAAAGCCAATGTATCTGATTCAAATCATTCTAACTGATTTGTCCTATGGAACAATTTGACTTAACATATAAGAGGTAGTATGCTTAGGTGATTTTACAGAGAATTATTTTTAAAACCAAGGTAAAATTCTTTACCTAACAGCTAGTGATATTTCGGAATAAGATTTATACATTTATATTTTGCGTTGTGTCTTTGTATAAATAAAACAGATGGCAAAACCGTAAAATAATTAGGAAATAACATCGTATGTCAATGCGACCCGTTCTCAGTTTTACTTTTATAACACTCATACTCATAATTACACATTCATGCTATGTTTACTTGAAACAAATCTGAGAGGAGGAAATAATCCTGTTTAAAATATGTTTATTGTTTTACAAGCGTCTGTTAGATTAACACAACACTTTAAAAGAGCTATGTATACAAGTTATAAGAAACAACTGTTGTATCTTCGCTCTATATTTCGCTATACATTTATGATTAAGATGATCTGTGAACAAAGAGAGTTGATAAGTTAACGAAGCCACTCTCTTTCTTAATTTTTTGGCAGACGATCAGTGTTAAGTAATATTTCACTTCAAGTTAACTTTGCATAATTTTATGTTATGCTTTTTGTGCATAAAACAAGTAAATTTGAAAAGAGGTCGGTATATTCTGGTATATTATGCATACCTATGTTATAGAACCATACCATATACGACGCTTGAATATGGCTAATTCCAATGTTGGTAATGATTTAATTAATGATTCATCGTCTCCTTGACAATATTATCTCATTTCTAAAAAATTATAAACATGTTATTTTATATGAATATCAAGGTTTCAAAATAAAACATTGTATATTAAACATAAACAGATATTCAAAAACGTCCCAACCGACGCTAAGGCGTACGCGTTACTTAACACATTTGTGAGCTCATCTTATTACTGGCACATTTCACGTTACTATATTTATAAACTATAATTGATAACAAATAATTGACACATATATTGTTCAAATTGTAAAATAACAATTATAGTTTATTGGGTATGAGTATATATCATGGTAATTGTTTATTTTTAAGATTGAAGACACCGCTTTAAGTCAACTAAGAGAACAAATATACCAGTCATATGGTGAGGAGGGTGAAGAATCGGTAACTGAGGCGTGGGACTCAATGCAACAATTGGTATGTGTTATCTACATATATTCATATTATATGATATAGACCTGGACACCTGGTCTGAAAAATAAGTATTTGCCATTTAGTCCATGGATAGTTGGTTCGAGCCTATAAGTATAAAACCCGGAAACTACCATCTCAGGTTACCAGTACTGAGTCTTGTCTCAAATGTCATGTTTTTAAGTGTTGATTGTACATTCTGTATTAGTTTTATTATTTATTCTGACCAATGAAATAACTGAGATCTAAGTTTGAGCTTGGATAATTTCTTTATAACCTCAAACCCTAGTTTGTTCCGGAAGGTGAACTCAAAACGTCGCAAGTGACTACGAAATTGAGCATAAATGAATATCTTTAAACAATTATGTAGGTATGTTATATCTAACCATCAAGATACAGGCTTTGTTGATTTGGTATACAACTTATTATATGTGTAATTATTTAATTTCCCTATAGGAGTTATAAACTGGATTGATTATCACAAAGAATGCGTCTAATTCAATCACTATTCACTTATCAGAGGAAGTAAAATTTGTACTTTATCAATATATAAGGTTGTTAAGCAATTTTTAAATAAGGAAGTTAAAATGACCATTTTATCTATTCTTATCAAAGTTGTTAAAATTGGGTATAAAATAACACTTTTAAATACAGGCCTATATTGCTTATATTGATCTAGTAAAACATATTATCTGTGAATTGACACTGAACAAAAATATTTATACATCTCTGCTTGGGTTTGATTTTTTATATCCTTTTTGTTATGCTTATGATGATGGTACCTGAGCTGTACTTATTCTAAATCAGCGCTTAAACTTAAAAATGAATCTACTGGATAATAAAACACAAACTGCAGATATGACAAATGGCACCGATGTGTTGGATCATTTAGATAGTTGTGACTTGTTCGATGGAGACAATGTGAAGTGTGCGACACTGAAATACATTAAACAAACTTCTTCGTCTCTATCAATATTTGGTTCCTTGGTAACCATAGGAATTTTAATTCTTTTTCAAAAGTACAAGGAATTTACGCAACGTATGATTGCAAACCTGAGTGTGAGTTCGTTACTTCTCGGTGTAAGCTATTTACTGGACGTGTTCGAGATGGAAGCTACCACATTGTGTATTACACAAGGATGTTTGATGACATTCTCCATCTGGTCTATAATGACGTGGAATGCTTGTATTGTGGCAAACCTTTACAGAAGAGTTTTACGCGGGAGTGATTGGAGACAAAGGGAGGTAATTATTACAATCCTATGCTGGACTATACCATTGGTAATTGCGTCATTGCCATTTATAGGCGATGTTTACGGACCTGCAGGAGTATGGTGCTGGATTATAAGGGACTGGAGATGGCGGTTCAGCATCTGGTACATCTGGGACATCCTATCAATTGTCGTTTTCATCTTCATCATTGTACACATTGTCTATAAGTTGTTCAGGACGACGAAAGAACTACGGAGATCAGAAACAGGGATGCTTCACGTTCAGACATTACATGCAGATATTCGGACCCTTCGAATGTATCCAGTTGTGTATTTCTTGGTTCATATTTTTCCAATAATTGGAAGAATACAGGATGCTGTTTACGGTTATAGCTTTGGTATTCTTCTTCTGCAGTCATTGTTCGGACCTCTTCTTGGGGCTGTCGTGGCTCTTGTCTATGTTCTTGATAGAAAAACATTGAAATTATTAACAGCGAAAGGTATTCGAGAAGCAATAGGAAAATGGAGAAACAGTAAAACACGAATTCGAGAATATAATATCGGAGCGGAGTTTGCTCCGTGTGAAAAAGAAGTCGAAACAGAGTCTACTATGTAGTTTATAAACATGACAAATACAGGCGCGTAGCTAGCCTATAAAGAATGTGGATTAAAAATAATCTAGGGGGATCAGGGGGCATCCCCCCCTGAAAATTTTGAAATAAATGGTGCAATTTGGTGCGTTTTGGGGCCTCCGGAGAGCTTTCTTGACCAACGATAATTACCTCTTTTCTATCGCTGATTCTGCTGATGACTTCTTTAAGAACTCGATGTAAACATTTGTTTACATTTCGAAAATACGGCGCGTGCAAACTTCCGACTTTGAAGAGCTGCAAAGGCCGACAACTTTTCAAAAAAATACTACGGTATGGTGTACGATTTAGGCTATATGATTTATAAAGTATTCAGTGTGGTAATTATCAGATCTGGCGGACGCGGCTGAATTTCAAACCACATTTTTTTTTACTAAAAAATTTTTTTTTGGTCAAAATAATGTGGATTCAGCTGCGTACTCGCGTATAGGCAGCTACGCGCCTGAAATATACTTTTAAAACTGCAATTCGATTATTAATAAAACTTAACATATTGAAATGTATTAATTACTCTAAGTTTTTACTTGTATTTATTTTTGCAAAAATGAGGCTTCGTTCATTGAACGCCGCCTTTCCTCTTTGATCTTGTTTATCATATTTCAAATATTTATATGCTCTATTTGATGACAAGCGCCTATATTTTGGCATCTTAAATACAGTTGATATAATTATACAAACATGGTTGTACTACTTTAGTTATGTTTGAAAACTGTTCTTAAATCTGAAACATTTACACGTGTTCCGTTTTTAAACGAAAATTGGTATAAAGCTATCTAGACAATTATTTATCATTATGAAATCTACACTTGATATATAAATTAAGACTTTATGACACATGTTTTGTAACATATAAATAAAACTGTTGATTTGTTTGAATTTGAATGTGTCACATTTTGTTTATTGATATCGTCTTACAAAAAGAGGAAGAAAAAACATTATATGCCTTTGACATAAGGAAGTTATATGAGACTACGTCAGATATATCTTTACTTATTTTCATGTCATAAACTTACATACAAATTTGTCATTTTATTTATTCAATTGTTGTCTTTAATTAAGTCTTTAGTTTAGGTTAAGTTTAGTTTAGTTAAGGTTTAATCCAACTTGTAAGCCTTAACACATTGATTGCAGCGAGCTCAAGAAATGACAATATATTTAAGTCAGTAAACACATGCACCAAGTTCGAGATAATATATCAGATTATATACAAAAGTAATGCGAACCTAAAGAGTGTAACCTTATAAAACCAACTATGTGTCTAGATCTTTAAGCCATTTTAACACATTCAATATTTTAAGTGTCAATACATCCTTCAGCAATCTCTTTTAGGTCAGGACTGTGCTTCTTTATTACAATGTTGACAATGCTTTGGGAAGTTTCAAATCTATATTTGTTCCTACATTAGATAACATTCCACCAGTTAAAGTTGTTCTCATGAAACAATAAACAGAAGACTGGATTACCTCCGAGAATTGATAAAGCAACAGAAAAAGCGTTTCATTATTTAAAGAAAACGACAAGTAAAAAAAATGTGTTTGTTTTGAAAATCTTAGAAAAATAGCTAAAGGTGTTATTCCTGCTACTAAACGATAACCATTTAATGAATTAGGCTAGAGATAACAATTTACAACCAATTAGATTTTCCATCTACAGATGCCAATCATTAACCAACCTAAGTCTGAATATTGATGGTAATATCTGTTTTGGCATGAGTGTTGATGCTGAAATAAATATCTGTTACTGCTGCAGAATTTTTTGTTAGCATATTATTAAAATTGTCCATTCAAGGTAATTGTAATTTTTATTTGTTTTTTAATCTTATCGATCAAAAGTCGTCAGACTTAAATGGTTTTATTCTCAGATGCTATGGAATATCACCTACTATGATACCTTAACAGGCAATCGTCAAATAAGGCCACATGTCTAGATGTAATTCCCTCTCACTTTATTCGAGATTCAGCCAATCATATACGATCCCCTTTTACATTTCATTAAGTTGCCAATAATACAAGGACAGGTTCCTTATGATTCTAAATCAGCCCTTGTAACCCCTCCCCCAATTCCCTTATTTTTAATTGCAAAACTAATATTAACAATTGTCGTCCAAATTCTAATATTTTAAGAGAGTTATCATTTACCAATCAGAATAACACGTTGCTAACAAAAAATTATCTTTGAGTAACAGTCAGGGTTCAGATAAGGCGTTGCAACCGACACCTGAATCATTCATTTTACAGATTATATTCGTTTGCATTCGAACAAGATCAACATACCAAGATCACAAGGATGTCGATACTGTCATAGAGATTCAAACATTTGGGCTACAAAACATAATATGTATAAAACTATAGCACTGCTGCCTTCAGTTTACAAACGAAATTGTTTGAGTTTTAAATAAAAATGCCTGTATGAATGGAATATGCCGGTATATTTCCATTTGAGCTAATGCCACATGCATGACGTCATTGATTAACGCTTACAACCCTGTTTTCGCACAAGTTTAATGTTTGTTAAATAACGGACATATTTTATGTTACAACTCTTTCGAAAATCGACCATAAGGTTGTGGAAACAACATACTTTTATATTTTTGAAATTGATCAGAATATTTCATTAGATATAGCTATATATCCTTTAGTGCAATTGATCTAATCTACGAGCTCTATCGACATGGTTATTTTCATACGAAGAACCTGGTGTATCGTCAGCATCTGCTCCAACAATGGTATAACCCATGGTTTTCCTCAATGATCAATATTAGGTCCCCTTCTCTTTTTTTTTGTTAATGGTATGTCAGCTGTCATCAAACAATAGTTCCTTCTTTATGCATATAAATCTGCTATCCTGGAATCGAGTTAAGATATAAAAATATAAATTATTAAAGATAAGGTAGCTTAAAATCTCCCATAATGGTCAGCAATTGGCTTGTTGGCTTTAAACTCTGACTTCATCTTGGCAAGACAAAATATTATGTTATTGTCTCTAAAGGAGTTTGAATTCTCAAATACAAATAGTGCAATGGTCAGTTCATTTAGTCAAACTTTTCTGATGCCTTGGAGTAACTATGGATCAATCTCTGTCTTTTGGAACTCCGACAAGATCAGTACTAGACACACTTTGTGGTTAAAGGTTAAAAATCTTGTACAGAAAAAAAAAGATTTTTTACAGGTCATACTTAAAAATTATAAGTAAGCTTACTTATTTAATGCCATTTTGTTTATGCATTATCTGCCTTGTACAATTCTCTAACAGAGGACTTAAGATATTAAAAGCAGGTTGCCCAGAATAAAATGATCAAATTTGTTATATGTCATATGTTGAAAAGAACAATTTATCAACTTAAAGTGGTAACCAATTGAGAATGGAGGCAACCGTTTTATACTACGCCATATTAACAAAATAAATCTCGGCTTTCACCTTACAACTTTCAGACAGGATAGAAATTTGTATTCCCGTTAACTCAGTCCATGAATCCTGAACATAATTTCCATCTGGCTCAAGAGTAGGCTAAAGTACACTGTTCAAAAGATATTTCATAAAATGGGTGCAGTTTATGAAATGGTATACCCCAGAAAGTTAGGGATGTCAAATGATGTGATATTTTAAATATAAAAAAGTTAAGTAACATGGATTTTTTGCAGTTTATTCTTAATGTATGCCTAGTCGATTTAAATGCTAGCTAGCTTTTTGTAAAAGTAACCAATGAACGAGCATCTGAATATGAAATTTCTATCGCTTTCCCTTTTTCTGAAGAGCCAATCAATGGAAATGCTCTGGAGTGCGGGTAACTAATACCTGCACTCCAGTTAACGCGCTGTGCATGTATATGGATATGATTTAACTCTGACACATTTTCAACAGAAAGGTCCCCAAACTATGATACAATCATTAATTAATGTGGTACTTATTTTTGTGGTTAAATAATTAATATGTTGTTATATGTGTGTTTATCTTTTCTACATTATTACTTCTTACTAAACTCAACACTTTATTGTGGGACCGCGGTGGAATTGAGGTTACTTCATTGTATCCCTTTTTTATTTATCCTTACTATATAATGTTAATGGCATGTGCCTTGTTGTCTTTATTTTGTTGTTCTGTATGTTTTAATAGCTTGTCCATGTCTGTCGTACATGTTATAATTTAAAGATGCATCCTTACTTAACCCATAACCTGCTGAAATTCTTGAATGAACGTGTCCATCTTCCTGTCTTGGAACAGACCATAATCAATTTTGGGGATAGCAAGATGAAAATCAAAAGTAAGACAACCAACAATATAGAGCCTGTTCAGACTGCACTAATTCGCAGTCTGGACTGGTTATCACTTCTGTTTTCACAAGGGTAAGGGTTAGTCCGTTAACTGAAGAGGTATGTGCGCATGGGTATTCTTGTTTTAAATAGGGTATTAGAACAATGGTTGTTTTATTCACTACTTCAGTTCAAATGTTGTGGAGTAAGTGGTGGAGTGAATTCTTCTGACTCCTGGGCTTTATACAAAAAATCATCGACATGGTTTACAAAACTTTCTGGTAAGTTATGTTTATCTTTAGCATCAGTAAAGGGATATAAAATGACTTCATGCTTTGTAAAGTTTTTTTTTTAAAAAGCTTGCAAACACAGTAAAGGTTAGAATATAAAATAATTAATCTTGCATTATCAATACAATTACTTAAAGAAGTATGATATTAATACTAAATGTAATGTCTCAAATAGATAAACAGTATAGTAAGGTCCTTCAATTTTCAACAAACAGCCAAAATCGTTGCAAAAGTCACAGTGCTGCTACGTGTATAGACTATCAGCATGTGGATTTAATTTTTGATGTTGTAATGTACGTTTTGTTTAGTAAAATAGAAACAAATCTAGACTTCTGACTTTGTTTTCATGTCATGAAATGACATGACATGATTTACTTTATGATAAGATACCTTGTACATTGGCGACAGTATGAATCAATCATGTTGTTTGTAAGTTATATTATATAATAATATATACCTACTAGAAAAAACTTATGGCTGACTAGTACAAAATCTCAGACAAAATGTTTCAGGGGTGTCCTAGTTTACATAGACTTATTTAGGAAACACATACAAACCTATATGTGTTACATTTCATGCCCTCAAAATTAGACATATGGGATCAACAGAAGTTTTTAATATATGCCATTTTGGCAAAACAAATGGGTCGTCCGGTCTCCGGTCCCAATGTTGTCCAGACTTTGACGAATTTAAACAATTGCTGGCAATAGTTTTTATATGAGCGACCTGGGGCCTACTTGATTCTCTTATTAGTCCCATTTTAGTCTAATTTGCTATAAATTTATAGACCATATATTATACTTTATATTACAGAGAGTGTAAAGTCGCCGTTAAAGATAGAGTATGTTCCGACAAGTTGTTGTAAAGATACGGAGAATACACCAAATGTTACGCAATGTCAAGGTCTGATTAACAAAGCTATAATACCACAATTTGGACCTCCAATAACTAGTGAAGATAATCTAAATGATCAATTATATACAGAGGTATGTGATACAGAAAAATTAATACTTGTTCACTGGTTGAGCATTTGATCCTACCTTAAAGTGACTTAATTCGCTCATGGTCTTAAAAGTTTTTGCATATATATGTTATGTTATTTTGTTGATTTTTTTTTACATTTTTTGTTGTTGCTGTTTTCCAAAACGTTTATGCATAAGATAATAAGTTAGGATAACGTTATTAAATTTAAACTTTAAGTTAAAAATCATGTCCGTACTCTGTATTGAGTATATAATAGAATCAATATACAAAATATGTTTCAATTATGATGCAGACAATTGTTTATTTTAGTTTTTTTATTCTTTTATTTATTTATTTATTTTTATTGGATTATTTAATTAAGTAATTAATCTATTATTTATTTATTTATTTATTTATGTATTTATTTATTTATTTATTTATTTATTTATTTATTTATTCTATTATTCATGCATTTTGACTATTCGATTAAAGAATGCCATATTTGTTCAATATCAGTAAAATGACCCTACTTGATCCGTAAATCCTAGAATTTGTAAAAGACTATGTGATTATTTATTTCAGGGATGTTACACGTCTTTACGTAACATGTTAACAAGCAACTTAGTAGTACTTGTGGGTGTTGGTGCTGGTATAGCTGTTGCCATGGTAATAAATTTATAAAATCTATAATAATTATATTCTCGTATATATACAGTACTTTCGGCGTTATTTAATGTTTTCCCTTTCTTTTCTGTTTTCTTATTTTTAAATCGGAGCATATATATACACATTCTAGCCCTGGCTGTAAATGTATAAGTTTGCATTTTCTTATACTTTGTCTTATAATTTGCCAAAACTCTTTGTAATTGTAATGTTATACACGTATATATGTGAATTTAGATACAAAGACATCAATTCTTGATAAAGTAAGAATTATTGAAACATTTTATGATAAAGTTAATGCTATATTCTAGATTATACTTTTGTTTTGTGTTGATACCATAAGAAATATAACTTACTATGTAAGTACAAAATATATAAATAAAATGATAAATATTTTTGACTGTGTACGTTTTTAAAACTTGTGGAAAAGAAAGTATTATCACATTAATGATCGCCCTAAATATTAAATAAGTTTGGATGTACGAAATCAAATATCATGTAAATCTTATGTAAATGTATTGTTTTATTTTCACATTTTAGGTCCTAGGAATGGTATTTTCAATTTGTTTGTGCAAACGAATAAAAAATGACGATGACGACTACTACGACTGCGACGACTAAGATGAACAATGCACGGGTTTCTCGTGAAAGAAGTCACAGTTCATATGTATATAATCATAACTTATTCGGTCACTTATAAATATACATCATTTAATACATATAACATACTTGTGTTATGCAATATGCGTGTACGTACTCGTTTGAGTAATGTTTTTATCAAAACAAATGAATCACCTCCAACCTATAACATAACAAAACATCGAAAAAAGGGAAAAGATAAGAAATTAGTAGGTTGTAAATGGTCTTATTGTCGAAAAGTATTTCATATTATTGTATTAGGTTTTACAATGTTATTGCAACTATAATATAAGTATTTCTAAAGACATGATATCATCTCTGACGTCAGCTATATTGGAATATTTGAATATAAGCAGTATTCGCACCGTGCTTAAAGTTAGCTCAACAATTGAATGCCAGGGGGGGGTAATTAAATTAGGTATATTGTAAATTACTTGTAGAGGTTATCTTCAGTTTAGCACATTTTGGCAGAGCTCTTTGAAAAACAAATTAACGAACGAACGAACGAACAAATTTATTTCACATAAACTTTACAGTTTCTAGTGGCTAGCCACTACATTTTACAAATTAACATATAGGTGTACATAGAACATACAATTGTGACAAATATCAATTATGTATACTAAAAGGATTAGGATATAATAATATAAGAAATTAAATTGATCTAATATTTATGGTGATGGACAATACATGTAACCATGTTTGTTTTATATCATGTCATATATCATCATAAGTAATAAGAAACATCATGGTATCAATTCGTTTCGCTAAAATTTATAATAACATGTTTTGCGTTATAAATTATTTAATTTTAAATCAGCATAATATAAATAATACATTTTTTTCGCTTGCTTTATGCTTTTCATGCCATTTAATATTCTACCAACAATTCGATTGATGTAAAAAGATACCATATGTTTCTATTTGTTTCATATGCAAAATACAATGCCATATAAAAGTATAAGTTATAATTAAAACACTGAGCACTCGTTGGATTACTATCATATAATATGCATTTTTCGTAGTAACATTAACTTTACTTTTTTCTTTAATGAATGTAGCATTTTTGAAAATTCGCTCGATATGAGCGATTGCTTCACTTTCTGTTGATGTTTTTTTATTTTAAAATACTCATTCTAATCCATCGTTTGCTCACTTTCTTATACACATAGTTTTGATATATACAATCTTCTTTGTTTTAAATTATATATTTCTGAAAACTGCATTTAGGATGTGCTTTATACAATCTATAAATTTTTACATCTTTGTCATTAACAAGCATCATATTTACAAATGATATATTACAAACAATTAAATGTAAATCAGTTGTTGGATCGTAATAATCTACTCGTACGTATTTCTAGTGATTCATGTATAAATTTTGCTAACATGACAATAATTGACTTGTTTTTAGATGACAACAATTGTGTAAATTTAAACATACTTGGCTTTGTTCTAAAAAAATTCTTGATATACTTTAGTCTAATTAACTTACAGCAACTAAAAAAGAACAATATCACTGGATTGGAAATTCTTTCAAATATCAAATGTCATATAATATGATGAAGATAGTAGGAGTTTGATTTCTTCTTGATATGATCTCTTATATTTACTGTGTATATCTTTTGTGTGTCAATGTGTTTAATTTTATGACAATATCATTCGTGACGTATCTTATGACGACAATGCTGCTTAATGATGTATTAATTAACCCTTACCCCACTAAATATCTAAAATGAACTCGTCCATATTTCTTTAAGAATAAAATCGTTATTTTAGTGAGTATTGACTGAACAGCGAAACGTGAACAGTGCAGAAAATTATGAGACACGCGAATGTGCCATCTGATCTTGGTTTGCACTGGCCGCACAAATAGAATTTGTTGTCAACAGTATGCTAAACGTTAAATCAAAGGAAAACTAGAGAAAATCAATTAATCTTTATTTTAAATTGACTTATATTATTATAATGTGTTATATATTATGTACTTATGTAAGTAGCTTTGTATTATACCATTGTATGAACAGCAAAACATTAAAATAGTGTAAATATTTTATTAAAATACTCCATGATTTGTACTATGTTGTTTTTTCAATGCAATAAATGATGTGTTTTTTATCACTTGTTACTTTTATTTAAATGATATCCATCAAGGGAACTAACCTAATCTACAAATGCGTTGAATTCAGTGTAAGATTTGTCTATCTTGATTTACAAAATAAAAATATGAAGCCTTATTCAGAACATTGCTGAATGCCAAACACTGATTGTTAAGTATGTATGTAATTGATATATAATAGAACTTGCGAACAAAAAAGGTATATAACAAATTGTGGTTTAGCTATTTACATGTATCGCTTTCATGATGAACAGCCAGTAAAAGCCACAAAATAGTCCCATCTTACTCAGTAGCTTAATTGTCCATTACATATATATCTTGACAAAAATGGTATTTGCTTGTTAGATATCCAAAAAAGCCGGCTAGATGGACTGACTTTCGAGACATGAACAAATATGTATTAAAATAGGCAAACAAGTCAAACAAACGAATGAGATGCTAGTTTTATTTATGCTTATCCACTAAAATCAATTTCTACGGGGTTTGTGTGTAACGCGATCAAAACGTATGTTTATATTGTAGCATGGTTTCACGTTTTGAGCATTTTTGCCGTCATGATCATTTTCCCTTCATTTTATAACTACAAAAGAAATGAATAAAGTCATGTTTCTATTTATTTGCAACGGCAATTTTATTTTGGTTGTTGTTTTAATCACAGCAATTCAGCAACACTGGTAACGTGACCATTGCCCAACATTTATTTTTGAAGAAGAACGAAGATGCACCGTCTATGCATTATTTCAGGCACAACTCGTGTGTCTGAGTAAAAGCAATCAAGTTCCGTCAGCTACATGGATAGGCTGCTCACATGAAAGAATTAATAATCACTGGCGAGACTTGAACCAACGCGGTGATAGGCCAATGGTTTGGCTGCAGTTTTAAGGAACAAGTTTCTCTTTTACATTGAAATTTTGAAGACCTTTATAAAAACCTTTAATTAATATTACGAGTATAATTATTATATTTTTGTAATGAATTCTTGTTTCATTATTAAAGTGACACGAGAAAACTTATCAAAGGGAGCTAATCAATTACAACCGTGCTTCAAAATCATAAAAGTGCATTACCTCCCTTATATTATATCTCGCTACTTTAAAATCATTAAAAAGGCATTACTTATTTTTTTTTATTATAATATTTAATTAAATGAACCAATTTCATAATTGAGTTGTCAATTTAGAAACATTGAAATTATATAAAAACGAATGGTTCTGCTTTTTTTTGTTTTTACCAGAACCAATTCCCATGTTTGGTGTACGGCTAGATCGCAATCTTTAGCTATCATGTGTTTTTAATGTACTTTTTATCGATTTATAATTAGTGACTATTTATCAATTGAGACATTTTTGACAAATGTATCGGGCCTTGTTATTTCCTAATTAATCATAATGGATACTAGAAAATTATTTCCCCCGTTTAATTCGTCTGTCTAAAAGGTAAGATTGTTTTATACCAAAAATGTGGGGCAGTAAAAAACATTGAATGTGTGCAAAAAAGAGGGAAACTATTTAACTACTTAAATTGCTTTTTTTCACTTTAAACCATAAAAACCGTTGCAGATCACGTAAAACATAAGTCACTGTTCTGCAAATCAAGTATTGTGATATTATATCTATATATAAATAACTGTATGGCAGTCATGCCTGGAGAGAGTCATTGAAAACATACTCCAAAATAACAACAAATCAGTCGTTTTCCTAAAATTTATACAATATAGTTATTATAAAATCTCCATTTTAAGATAATTCACAATGCAGCAATGCATTAATAAAATCATTGAAATGTACAGTAACCGGAGACAATAAAAGGAGGTAGCCCTAAAAGGAGTTGTGATGCCAGCGAAGGGCCTGCCTTTCAAGCCTTCACTCTCTGTGCTAGGAGCTCGTGTAACCTATAACAATTTCCTCCTTGTCCCTCCTCGGCTTTGGCCAGGACACCGACAGCTAACTTCATACAAACTAATTCGTGCTGCCTTGAACGTTACCCGCACAGATAGTACTATTTCTATTTTGGTAACACAATAAATAGAATTTCGGTTACACAATTAAATTCTAATGATGCAATAAAATATAATGTTTACCCTCCTCATTTCCTATTACCTATCTTATTATAACTTTTAACTGTTTTTAGCAACAACGACAAGTTCTAGGTAAAGGGAGGTGATTCATTCATTTATTTTTTCAAACTGACGAAATGGAGTTATCGCGCATACACCATTCTTAGAAAAAATTCAAAAACTAACTAATTTTGATATGTTTGTGTAATTCAATCAAATGTATCAATTTGTTATTGAGCTGTCAAGTTAAAAATCTTGAAATCGCAAGACAATTTGGCGCTGGGTACAGCGTCTGACATTAAAAGCTGAACCATTTTTAATTTTATTAATTATTTGTCGTTATTGGCCATGCGTAATAAATGCATATTTTATCGAATTGATCCTTTTATCAACTGGGATTTTTTTTTACAAATGAAACAGGGACGTTCCTTTGTCGCTACTCATATCGAAGTTTATGCATTAAATATTATTATAATTAATAATTAGATTAATAATGCAATATTAAATTGAATAAAATCATATTATTAATTTTTTACAACAAATTTGTTTGATTTTTTTTAAAGTCAAGTGTGCAAAAAAAAATGTCTCAATAATATGCATTTGTTACGAAAACAATAACATTTTTAAGACAATAACTATTTCAACAATTAGTGTGAAGAGATAGAAGTAGCTGCTTCTAAATTTTAGCAATATATGTATCACGTTATACAAGATCATTTTATTTTCTTTTTTTTAATAAAAATGTTATAATTTTACAAGGCTTAGTGATGATTTTACAAAATACATTTCCACATTGTGATTGTTTATTTGCGGAAAAAAATGTTATAATTTACTATAAAACAAATGGTTAACTTCACAGAGCCAGCTGGAATATACATCGACATGTTCAAGGAATGGACTGACAAACGTAAGCTTTTTATATTTTATTTATTATGAAATATATACATATAT